AAAATAAAGTATAGAAAAGCAAAACCACCCTGTCTTTAATAGTGAATGCTTTTTGGAAACAATAGTCTGATGGCTCCCTGAGGACAGCATCACATTTGTTATGATGACTGCGGTATCCCTAGCATCCAACATCACGCTTCAACTTGGAAGGCTTTCAGAACTTACTTTTAGCCAGGAATGGTGGCCCATTGCTGTTATTCCAGTACCCTGGGAGGTTGAGACAGGAGGTTTGCAAATTCAAGCCCAATCTGAACAATTTAGTGGTTTGTGAAATCCTGTCTCAAAATAAAAAAAAAAAAATTAAAAGAAGGGCCTGCTGGTACTACTCAATGCAGAGGCCCTAGGTTCAGTCCCCAGTATTACCAAAAAAAAGTTAAAGAGAGACTGGGGATATAGCTCAGTGGCACAGCACCTGCCTGGCAAACACAACATCCTGAGTTGGGTTGCGGGTACCAAAAAAACCAGAAAATTTATTTGTGGGTGGATTTAATTAAATCAGCAAGAGAGGAATTGAAGGGTGCAGGTAGGAGGGCCTCGTGAGAAGAACTAGAGTACTCAGGATTTTGACATAGTCCTTGGTACTGAGGAGCTGCAGAAGGCTTTTACTTTTTTGTTTTCTTTTTTTTTTTTTGGGGGGGGGTCTCGATATGTAGTTCACAGGGATCCTCCTGCCTCCGTCTCCTGAGTGCTGGGATGATACGCATGTGCTATCACGCCTGGCCCAGAAGGCTTTACAGGAAGATGAGACAGTGGAGGCTGTGATTTTGAAAGACTCCTGTGCAGGATGATCTGGTAGAGCGAGACCATGCCATACATCCATGAGCTAATGGCTGTAGATTTGGAAAGAGGAATCATAGAATTTGGTGGGTGACTAGGTGTAGGAGGTGGGGAGGAAGAGAAGGAACTTTAGGCTGAGCACTTGTGGGCAGAGTCCTGCATAGGAGGGAGCCAGAAAAGGGAGGGTGCAGTACTTTGGGGAGACTCCATCCTATAGGACCCAGAGAGCGTGAGTCACCTGTGCCCTTCCGCACTGTGCACCTTGCTCTAATTTGTTTATGATGGGGCCATAACTTAGCCCACATTTAGTTAAGGAAAAATCTGGATGGTAGAACAATCCTATTTCCACATAAAGATTAACTCCTTTCTGGGTGAGAAGCTGTCTCCACCAAGGCACAGGTTTTGTAGACCTTGAAGACAAGTCTTGCATCCCGCCCCACTGGCAGGGTCACGTGTGAATTTATGCTGGCATTTGGAAGACAAGGTGGTGTGGTGCCGGCCGCAGCGAAAGCAGGGACACGTGCTGCATGCTGATCTGCCTTTTCCGCTGTCTCTCTCCACTGTAGAATGTGGTGCCTACTTCAGTGAAAATCAAGCTGATAGACATGCTTTCAGAAGCAGGACTTCCTGTTATAGAAGCCACCAGCTTTGTGTCTCCCAAGTGGGTTCCCCAGGTGAGCCCCAGCCTTTCCCAGATGAGAGGGTGGGATGGCTTGCAGCTGCCCTTGGAGCCTATGGAAGCTGGGAGCATGGGTTCCCACAGCTTTGGTTTTGAGAGGGCACAAGTGATCCCCACACTGTTCACCAGAAGGATGTGGCGTGGCCCTGGGTGCTTGGATTCAGCCTTAGCTGTGCCCAGCCTGCTGCTGACCTTGCTGATGTTTCCAGTTTGCAGATGGTCCGCAGGTCTCTTCTGGTTCTAGGAATGTTGAATCTCCATGCTTGTGTGGTAAAAGACAGAATGGGCAACTGGAGAAGAAAGTGAGCTGTAGATAATGAAGAGAGTGGAGCAGTGCCTGGCTGGGAGCAGTTCTCAGTCAATGCCAAATGGTGGTAGACCACTGACGCTGCCTCCGTGAAACTGCTAGTATTGGCCAGAAAGAGAAATCAGGGAAGTCATTCGGCCCAAGGCCACACAGCAACCACAGGTGGGAAACTCAGGCCTGCAGAAGGCTTACAGCCCACAGCCCTAAAAAGCAGAGACCTTGTGGTAAAAAGGCTTTCTGTAACTTCGAGCACTCTGCCTACTTTGGCCATGTGTCCTTGGGCTCCTAGATGGCTGACCACACCGAAGTTTTAAAGGGGATTCAGAAGTTTCCCGGCATCAACTACCCAGTCCTGACCCCAAATCTGAAAGGCTTTGAAGCAGCGGTAAGAGGACAGCTTGTTGGTGGGGCCTCCTGGGATGAGACTGATGGTGTTAGTCCCTGTCCCTGTGATCCCCTGCCCGGGATGCCTATCTGAGCATCTTGTCTTTGGTGGCAGCCAGCACCATTGGACCCTGGGGCAGTCCTGGCCCTACTTCTCACTGCTTCATGAGCGTGGCAAGTTGCTTAACCCCTCTGAGCCCCGGTTCTGCCTATAGACTAGGACCAATGATAGTAGCCAAGGTTGAGGTGATTTCAGAAGATAGATTACACAGAGTTTGCGTAGCAAGGGCCTGACATCAGTACTGAGTAAATGCCAGCTCTTATTACCCACTCCTTCAGAGAAAGGTTCTCTATTTAGGCAAAAAGGTTCTTTCAAGAATGACTTTCAGGGGGCTGGTGAGATGGCTCAGTGGTCTAAAGCACCTACTTAGAACAAGCTTAGCAAAGCACAGGGCCCGCGGTTCAATCCCCCAGCACCACATGCCAGCCAGCCCGCCCCCTGGTGGGCTGAACTGGCCACACACAAATAAATTAAAAAAAAAAAAAAAAAGAATGACTTTCAGGGTGGTGATGCCAGGAGCATTGGTGATTTCATTGGGAGATGTCACAGTTGTATTTTTGGCACGCTTTCCTGCCCTTGGGGTTCCGGGGATGGGACCTGGGGCTTCAGCTTGCGGGCAAGCGCTCTAGGCTGAGCCATAGCCCTGGCCTTGGTTTGTTCTGACACAGAGCTCACTGGGTACTTCCTAGATCCGCTGTGCGAAAGCACTACACACTGAGTGACTTAAAGCAGGAATTTATTCTCTCACAGTCGGGAGGCCAGAAGCCCGTAATCAGGATGTCAGTGGTTTGGTTTCTTCTTGAGGGCTCAGAGAGCAGCTGTTTCTGCCTCTTCCGGTGCTGCTCACGGGGCAGCCCTGGCATCCTAGGGCTGTCAACGCATCACCCTGGGAACTCCCCCATCTTCACGTGGCTTCCTCTTTTGTCTCTGTATCAGCACACAGCCATCTTCTAAACTCACCATCCTGTAGTGTGACCTCTTAACTGATTACACTTTGATGACCAAGTCTTCAGATAAGGCCACTATAAGGCCACTTTGTGAGAAGGGCCTGGTGCTTAGGGCTTCAGCGTATCTTCCTAAGGGGACACAACACAGCCCATAATGTTCCTGTACCTTAACATTTAGCATAAGATGACACTTTGCCACAAGGTCAGAGACCCCAAGAGCTGCTGAAGGAACTCCCCTGGGTGTTGGCAGGTGGCTGCTGGCGCCAAGGAAGTGAGTGTCTTCGGAGCTGCCTCGGAGCTGTTCTCCAAGAAGAACATCAACTGCTCCATAGAGGAGAGCTTCCAGCGCATGGGCGGGGTCCTGGAGGCCGCACGGGCTGCGGGGATTCCTGTGCGGGGGTGAGTCAGGCCACACCAGCCTCCTTCAGTGCCCTCCTGGGGTGGGCTTGGCTCTGACCCCAGCTGCCCCCCCCCCCCAAGCTCCTAGTAGCATAAGCACCTGCCTGGCAAGCACAAGGTTCCGAGTTTGATCCCCAGTACCACAAAAATAAATAAATAAATAGATAGATAGATAGATAGATAGATAGATAGATAGATAGATAGATAGATAGATAAAGTGTAAGACTTCCTAAAATATTTACCAACATAAAAACCTGTCAGTGGCTGGCCAAGTGCAGACTTACTTTTCTTTGCCATAGTAGGGATTAAATCACGACCTTCTGAACTATATCCCCAGCCCCTTTACTGTTGTGGGGTTTTTTTGAGATATGGTCTCGGAGGTTCCCCTTAAATTCAGCAATCTTCCTGCTTCAGGCTCCTAAAGGCTGGAACTATAGGCATGTGCCACCACACCTGGCTCACTTTTTATTTTGAGACAGGGTCTTGCTACATTGGTCAGGCTGGACTCAAACCTATGATCCTCCAGCCTCAGACTCCCAGAGTGATGGGAATACAGGGCTGAACCATCATGCCCAACTCGGACTTTTTTTCATTTCGCACACTGGGGGCCAAACCCAGTGCTCACTGCATGATGAGCTGCGTCCTCAGCTGGGTTCAGTTGCTGTAACGTGGCTTGCAGGCCCCTGATGATTCTATCCCCGCCACTGGCCGCAGCTTCGCCCTGACCTTGTCTGCACACTGCACTGAAGCCCAGCTGAAATGTTTTCCCTTTGTCACATGCCTGCTGCTGCTTGTCTTGGGCCTTTGCGCTTGCTTTTTATATACTCAGAACATGCTTGGCCTACATCATGCCTGTTCAGCTCAACTGTGGATATTGGCTCCTCTGAGAAGTGTTCCTGTCCCTCAGCCAAGGTGGTGGCCTTCTGCTGGGATTCCATAGTCCCCTGTGTCTTCCAATGTAACATTTAGCACTGGTTAAATCTGCCCTCCACCTACGCTCTGCGCAAGCGCAGGCCCCTATCTACCACCCCTGATGTGCCCTGCTCTCTGACACTGTGGGGTGTGGAAGAGGCACTCAGGACAGTGAGCGCTGGCCGCAGCCTCTCTGGCCCCGGTGCCATTTTTCCCACACAGGTGCCCACCCGCACTGCCCCCTCTGGCTCCGCATTCCTGTGGGGAATTCCTGGCTGCTCCCAGGCTCCTGCAGGTCTCCCACCTCTCCCTCCCCAGAGGCCCCTGCAGGTCTCCCCATGGGCACTGACAGGGCTCCTCCCACCTCCCACAGGTATGTCTCCTGCGTGCTTGGATGTCCCTACGAAGGGAAGATCTCCCCGGCCAAAGTAGCTGAGGTGCGTGTGTGGCCAGGCAGGTGTGCTGTCCCCTCTGCACAGACGACATCTGAAGAAGGGCCTTGCCCAGTGGCTCCAGCGCTCCCCGTAGTAGAGAGGACAACAGTCTTTCTCTGAGTGGTGAATGCCATGGAGAACCCAGGTTCAGAATGAATTTGAGCATTTCAGGAGCTTCTGTCATTTTGCCCTCAAAACTTGTGCAGATTTGTTATTCTTCCATTTCACAGTTAAGGAAACAGACTAAACAACTGGCTACTCAGGGTGCAAATGGTAAAACCAGGCCTCAGGCCCCTCGTCTCTCTGCAAAGCCCACTTGTTCCCCCCTACCGTGTGGTATTCAGATAAAAGAAATGGTCCCAGAGCCAGATGGGTGTCACGGGCACCTGTAACCCCAGAACTCTGGAGGCTGAGGCAGGATGTAGCTGTGTAAAGGTCCTGGCTTCAACCTGAGTACCAATAAAAACAAATGAAAGATGGGCAGGGCTGGGAGTGTGACTCAGAGTTTGAGATGCTTACAAAGTGCAGGGCTAGGGCAGAGGCAGGGGTCCTGCTGTGTGGCCAGCTCTGCACCCCAGGGACACAAGCCTGTCCATTCCTGTTACAGTTGTTGGGAGCCCGAGGCCCAGCAGAAGCCCAGGGCCTCCCATGTGGAGGTGACCAGCTGGTTGGCCATCCCTCCTTCGAGCCTTCCGGGCCCCAGTTGTTAGCATCTAGGCAGCTCCACGTGCCTGTTTGCTTCCCAGGTCTCCAAGAAGTTGTACTCGATGGGCTGCTACGAGATCTCCCTGGGGGACACGATTGGCGTGGGCACCCCAGGGCTCATGAAAGACATGCTGTCGGCTGTCATGCATGAAGTGCCCGTGGCTGCCCTGGCTGTCCACTGCCATGACACCTACGGCCAAGCCCTGGCCAACACCCTGATGGCTCTGCAGGTAACTAAAGGCACGCGCCCTCTTCCAAAGGGCACAGAATGGCTCAATCCCACGTGGTGTTCACCAGATGTTCACTGATGTCAGTGTGCCAGGCCCAGGCCAGTAGTGGTGACCTTGTCTGTGTGTTGGGACAGTCGAGATGATGCGGGAAGGACTTACGGGACTTAGGTCGGAGCCCTGCAGACACGCAGCTGGAGAAGGAGGGGGGACCAGGACCAGGACCAGCAGCGCCCTGAGCAGATGCGTTTGCTGTGGATACAGCAGCGGTGTGTGTGCTGTGGGAGAGGACAGAGGTAGAGAAGGCCAGAGCTAGGATCTTAGGGGTCTCCAGACGGCTGAGCGGCTAAGGGAGAGTGTTGAGCAGGTGACGGCCAGGCCATGATCTGAAAGCCCCCTCTGACCACCTGTGGAGATCGGACTGCAGGGAATAGAAGGGGATACCAGTTCGGAGGCTACAGGAATCCTGTGGAAGGTGGCTTGAGGAGGCTCAGAGGATACAGGCCTAGGGCGGGTGCAGCCCTCAGGCCTCCCGGGGAGCCCTCCAGGAGCAGGCAGTGGTTATGTGAGTCTCTGGGCGGTGTGAACATCATGGAGTCTCAGCACAGAGGTGGGTATTTAAAGACCATGAGGTCACCTGCGAGGGAGTATAAATCTAGAATTTGTCTGAGGACCACGTAGTGAAAACTCCAACTTCTGTTTTGTTTTTTCTAATTTTGAGACCTATCTTTTTCTTCTTTCTTTCTTTCTTTTCTTTTCTTTTTTCTTTTTTTGAGACATATCTTACTGTGTAGCTCATCCTGTCCTTAAATTCACTGTGTAGCTCCCTCTAGCCTCAAACTTGAGGTGATCCTCCTGCCTCAGCCTCCTGAGTGCAGGGATTACAGGATGTACCACCACACCTGGGTATAGGTCCATTTCTCCCTGGCTTTTCTTTCCCCAATTTCTAAAAGCTCAGAACAGGGTATGATGACGCATGCTCATAATCCCTGCACTCTGCTGAGGCTGGAGCGTCACTGAGTTTGAGGCCAGCTACCTAGTGAGTTCAAAATAAGTCACAATTACAGAGCAAGACCCTGTCTCAAAAAATCGAAAGCAAATACAGCAAAAACATTGAAGGAAGCCAGATGTGTTAGAGGAAGACAGTGCTGAGGGTGATGCTCCTGGCTGTCACAGAAGGTGGCAACCTGACCTTTGGATATGTAGCCACGTGGAGGTCACCAGTGCAGTGGAAGAGCTGTGGGGAGAAAATCATTCAGAATGGGCTCAGGTTAGAATGGCAGTAATAGTGAGGAGGGACTGCCCCTTCGGGGTATTTTGCTTTAGACAGAGCCAGAGACATGGGAAGTTGGAAGGGACCCAAAAGGGGCTGTGAAGGATGGCACAATCCCAGGCTGCTTGTGCAAGGGTCAAACCCTGGAGCCAAGACAACAGTGGAGCTTCGGGCGGGCCTGGGTGCTGTGGAGGTGGAGGAGGTGGCCGTGGCCAGGAGCTGAGAGTTGCCTCAAGCAGTGAGGGCACAGAGCATCTGTGTCACTGATACAGGCAGTGGGTGATGGACAGTGGAGGCTAATGGTGGTGTCTGTTCTCCCTGAGAGTAAGGAATCAGCTGAGAGTAAGGAAGGGGCAGGAGTGGCAGAGGTGGGAGGAAAGAAGGTGAAACAGCCATCCAGGAGAGTGGCCAGCCTGCGGACCGTGACGGTCTCCTGTGGTCAGAGTGAGGGCATCCTGCAGTGGGTGCGTGCACGCGCGAGTGAATCTGTGAGAGGTCTGAAGTCTCAGGTGAGACTGGGTTGGTGATCTGGAGGGGCCTCTCAGAGGAGGTGGCTTGATTGAGGCTGAGATCTTCAAGGTGAGGAGGGGCCACCAAGAAAGGAATGGAGGAAAGGTACTCCTGGCAGAGGAAACAGTGAAGGGAAACAAGACACTTTGGAAACCCAGGGAAGCCTGTCTGCCAGTGGGACTTTCCCTCCGCAGACTGCTAAGCCAAAGGATAGCTGCTCCCCAGGACACACGCACAGGCTCAGGCACCTAGCAGGGAGGTTTGCAGGGCGGGCCCAGAGGTTCAGGACCCTGGCAGCAGCAGTGTTTCACCATCCTTCTGTTTCCAGATGGGCGTGAGTGTTGTGGACGCCTCTGTGGCAGGACTTGGAGGCTGTCCCTATGCACAGGGGGCATCAGGGAACCTGGCCACTGAGGACCTGGTCTACATGCTGAGCGGTTTGGGGATTCATACGGTAAGCCCGCCTGCCCCCTGGTGGTGGCAGCCTGCACTGACCAGGGTGCTGCCTGATGCCCTGGACGGAAGCCAATGTGCTGACTGGGGTTGGGTAACAGGGTTAAAGGTGGAAGTGCCAGTGGGTTATGGACCTTTTTTATCTTGTGTTCAAAAATGGAGCAGAATGTGACTGAACAAGGTCACAAACAGGCACAAGAATGCTGGGAACATAGAATGATGTCCAAGGTGCAGCTCTGTGAGGCCCAGGGATTATGGAAGATCCCTGAAAGGGGCCAGGATCGTGGTATTCATTTTGTTCTCTAAGCTGAAGGTGGCAGAATTAGATACCACCCTGCCTCAGAGTTCTCAACTAGTCTGTAAAGACTCTTAGGAGTGGCACAGAAGCTGGTCCAAACTTGAGGTGCTCCTCTTGCCTCAGCCTCCCAGTGCTGCGATTCTGGAAATAATAATAGCACCAATCTCATAGGCTGTCATGAGAATTAAGTAAGAAGATACGGAACCAGACATACAGGTTGTGTATGCCTGTAATCCCAGCACTCAGGAAGCTGAGGCAGGAGGATCACCTCAAGTTCAAGGCTAGCCTGGGCTACATAGTGAGACTTACCTCAAAGATCCTACGTGGCTGTGGGCATAGCTCATGGGCAGAGCACATGCTTAGCATGGGCAAGACCCGAGTTCCAGCCCCAGCACCACAAAACAGACAACAAAAACAGAAACTGTGTCAGATGCAGAGGATGGAGCCTGTCAAATGCTGTGAACAGAGCTCATGGTCCAGCCTTCCAGGTTTTTATTCCTACCTTTGCACTTTAGTCCTTACTTCAATGTGCAGCTTTTGATGACAAAGTCAAGTATTTGTGGCCCTGGCACAAAAGTCCCAATTCCTGTGATGCCACTCCTGGTGGTGGCATCATAAACTTGAAAGGGAGAATCAGAGGGACAACTCCAGATGGCTGACAGACAGGACCTCACAGGCAGCTGGTATCCCGTGGTCAGGAACAAACCAGAGCCTGCTTGCTGCCACCTTTCCTTCTTCAGGGTCATCCTGCCACCTCCCTGGGTGTTGAGGGCGTGTCCTGACTCACTGTGTCCTCTTAATTTGTTTCTCTAAGGGTGTGAATCTCCAGAAGCTCCTGGAAGCTGGGGACTTCATCTGTCAAGTCCTGAACAGGAAAACCAGCTCCAAAGTGGCACAAGCTAGCTGTAGACTCTGAGCCCCTTGCCTGCCTGGAGCCCACAGATTGCACGGGGATAGGGGTGCACACGGATGACTCCTGGATGGGGAAATGGAAGCAAGATGGCAACGCAAGGCACGGGCAGCTCCGGCCCACCCTGCCAGGCTGTCCTGGCCAAGAGGAGAGGGCGGGACCCTTCCGGTCAGCCCTGTGGGAGTGGGAGTGTGCGGCCTCAGGGGCTGGGAGTCGCCCTTTACTGCAGACCTGGTGACCCTTGAGTTGGGTGCTTGAGGCTCTTGGGAACCTGCGTGCAAGGATCATGGTCATTAAGTCTCATTCTGGGTGACCTCTGTGCAGCCCCACCCTGCCAGCGCTGAGGGCCATTACTGTCCTCTTAAGGCAGAGGGTGTGGAGCAGTGGCTCTAAACTGGCAGCGTCTGCCATCTCCTGGTGAGGCTGGTCTTCTGTGGTGGCCGTTCGCCAACCGCAGCATCAATGGAAAATCTACTTAGAACATGATTTTTGAAAACAGCTGATGTAATTAAAGATTTAATTTTCCAGTATCTGGCTGTGCAAATGTGTGTATGCGAACAGGAATAAAATCCCTATCGCTCTGCACTGTGAGGGGAAACTAGACTTCGAATGTATTATCAATGGATTTCTTCCCTGCTTCCCCCCTGAGCCCCACTGCAAGGACCGGAAATCGGAGGCACTGGCCACCGAACCCCGGCTGTGCCACCTGTGCCTGCCCTGGCCCTAGAGCAAGCTCGGAGGGCAGCAACGCCCCACCCCTCAGGGCCAGCCCTGGCGTCCGGTAGGTGGGGACCCTCCTGCGGTCCTGCATTTATTGCTTCTCTGCACGGGTTTTCACAGTATGACACAGCTTCACCGACGTTACTGCACTGCCATTTATTTGACTTAAGAAAAACAGGCACTACTGAGCTCTGTTGGCAGCAGGCAGTGTGCAGACAGACCCTTCCCCGCGGGTGGGCGCCGCAGCCTGGGCGAGTTCAGAGCGGTGCGCAGCTTGAAGGTGCTTTGGTTTGTTTGCGAACTGGACTCCCAGAACTACAGCAGAGCCGCTCCCCAGCTTTACCATTCCGCGAGACCTGGAGGGGCCTCTCCCGACTGCCAGTTCCTGCTGGGCGGGGTGCCGCCCACTTCCGCCCTCCCTGGGAAAGCCTTTGCAGTCGCCTTAAAACTGCACAGGACTTTTGTCCTGCTGGAGTCTCCGTAGTGACCATAACCCAAGCGACACGTCTCCTTGGGGGTGTGGAGGGGGCGGGATCTGGGTGGGCTGTCAGCTCTTAAAGGGACCGCCGCAAGGGGCGTGCTAGGCGCCGCCGCGGGAGTCAGCGCAGGGCGCTCAATCCCCAGCAGGTTTGCGAGGCGGAAAGAAGGTCTTGGTGGGGTCTAGAGGGTGGGTGGTTAGCAGGGAGTGAGAGAGTCCGAGCGGGGTCCGGGCCGAGTTAGAGGCAGAGCAGCGCCTAGGCGAGCCCGCCCCTTCTGTTCCCGCTTCCCTGGCGGGGCCGCCCGGGTTCATTCATTCCGGGGCCAGGACTCCTAGCTCTGCCCCTTCCGAGCCCCGGCCCAAAGTCCAGCGCTCACGGCCAGCACCCCTTCCCCTCTTGATAGAGTGGAGAAACTGAGGAGGCGACAGCTGAACAAGATCATCCCCTGGATACTGGGCGAAGTCGCGCTCTGGTCACCTGTCTCGCGGGACCCCTCGGCGACCACTTTCCCAGGTTCGCAGAGCGCACGCCGCTCGGCTGGGAGAGCGAGGGGGCGGCTTGGGCGTCGGGCAGAGTCCAGGGGGAAGCCTCGGGGAAGGGCTGGGCTGCCAGCCTGGAGATCCGAATTCCAGCCGGGCCATCACCGGTTGTGCAGCCACAGTCACGTTAACCTCTCTGGCCCTCGTTCTGCCACTCATAACACCTGCCTCGTCGAGTTGTGGGCGAACTCAGGAAAATAACACGCAAGAGCTAGGTACAGAGCCTGGCACGCAGCGGGCGCTTAGTCAAGAGGGTTGGGGCTGGATGAGCCCAGAAGGGTTTCAGGCAGCCTGGAGGAAGACGGCAGCCGGCCAGGTCGTGGAATGAAAGGCTTCAGTGTCTGGGCCTCCCGACCCGCTTTGCCCCCTCCACCCAGAGTTTGTTCAGGGCGGAGACACACACCTGGCAGTGGAGACAGGGCCAAATCCACGTCTACACTGGCCCACCCACTACTGCCTGAAGTTGGGCGGATCCCCATCATCAAGCCCAAAGTAACCTGGCATGGGCCTAGCCAGAGCCCGCCTGCTTGCTCTGGGTTGATGCTGGGCCCCTCCTTCAAGCAGAGGACCCACCCTCTTTCTGGTTCCTCCCGGCGGATCCCTGAGGGAAGGGGCTGCCTAGCCCCTATGGCCAGGAGCTTGCTGACAGCCAGTAGTGAAGCTGCCAGGGAGGTCTGAGTCTGAACAAAGGAGCCTGTCCTGGGATCCTGGAGTCCCAGTCCTGCTGCCATGTCCCCTTATGCCCAGCACTGTCCAGTCTTCAGACACTGGAAAAGGTCATGTAGGTCCTCAGGGATCTCAAGTGTGGGTCACTTGTGGGAACTAGAAAATATGAGACCTCTGCATCCCTCCTGCAGCAGGCCTTAGCATCACCTCGTTGCCCTCCCTACCCTATAATGGTCTGTGTACAATTATTCACTTCATTTTGCAGGGACTAACTGCAGCCTGCAGGGTAGGTGATTCTTGCAGCCTTAGCTACTCAAAAGCCAGCAAGTGCCAGTACCTGGGCTAGAACCAGAGCTGACTCAAGCTCTTACGTGGGACCCACTGCTCCCCGCCTCCAAGGTGAGCCTGTGAGGTGGGGCAGACTGGGGATGGGGAGAAGCGCTGAGACCCCCACAACCACCTCTGTGACTGTGTGCTAGGCCAGGTGTGATGGCAGAGAAGGTGCTGGTCACTGGCGGGGCTGGCTACATCGGTAGCCACACGGTGCTGGAGCTGCTGGAGGCAGGCTACTCGCCCGTGGTTATCGACAACTTCCACAATGCCATCCGTGGTGAGCATGGGTGGCAGGATTGGCGTTTCTGGGGGGCATGGAGGGAAAGCCTAGCTTCCAGGACCCCATTTGCTACTCTCGGTGCCCCTAGGCAGGGCCTCTATGCCTGAGAGCCTGCGGCGGGTGCAGGAGCTGACAGGCCGTCCCGTGGAGTTTGAGGAGATGGACATCTTGGACCAGGTGGCCTTGCAGCGTCTCTTCAAGAAGGTAGATACCAGCAGGTAGGGCCTTTGCCAAGGGCAAGGCTGCCAAAGCCATGTTGACCCCCACTTTGCCCCTACAGTATAACTTTAAGGCTGTCATCCACTTCGCGGGGCTCAAGGCTGTGGGCGAGTCGGTGCAGAAGCCTCTGGATTATTACAGAGTTAACCTGACAGGGACCATCCAGCTTCTAGAGGTGAGAGGCCTGGGGCAGGAACCCAGCCCACCAGCGGGAAAGTGCTCGTGTGGGAGTCACCCAGGACCCATGGCTTTCTCTAGCTCCTGGCCTTTCTACATCTGTAAATGAGATGCCAGTGACCTCACCCCCACCCCCGAACAGCCAAGGACAGGACCGGCACAAAGTGCGGGCCACTGATGCCTCCTCTCCCGGCCAGATCATGCAGGCCCACGGGGTCAAGAACCTGGTGTTCAGCAGCTCAGCCACTGTGTACGGGAACCCCCAATACCTGCCTCTGGATGAGGCACACCCCACAGGGGGCTGTACCAACCCCTACGGCAAATCCAAGTTCTTCATTGAGGAGATGATCCGAGACCTGTGCCGTGCAGACAAGGTGAGGCCCCTGCGGCTGAGGGGGTCCAAGCACCCCTCTCCTACCCCAGGAGGAAGCTGGGGCTCAGAAGTGACAGGGACTTGCCTGGGGTCACAGCACTGACAAGGAGTTCGTTTCTGGAGAAACAGAGGACAGTGGGGAGGCAGAGGGCCCTGGATGCAGCTAGGACACATTGCCAAGACCCCTGCCCACCCCGTAACCTGACCTGAGCCCCACAGGCCTGGAATGCGGTGCTGCTGCGGTACTTCAACCCCACAGGGGCCCATGGATCAGGCCGCATTGGCGAGGACCCCCAGGGCATCCCCAACAACCTCATGCCCTACGTCTCCCAGGTAGGGGCAGCAGGGTGCCCCAGGGTACAGCTAGTGCACGGACCTAGGAGAAACTGACCAGACCTCTGCCCCTAGGTGGCAATCGGGCGAAGGGAGGCCCTGAATGTCTTTGGCAATGACTACAACACTGAGGATGGCACAGGTGAGCCCAGGGCCAGGACTGAGGGCCCTAGAGAGAGACTGAGGCAGAACCAGCTCCCCCAACCAGCTCCTCCTCCGCAGGTGTCCGGGATTACATCCACGTTGTGGATCTGGCCAAGGGCCACATCGCCGCCTTGAGGAAGCTGGAGGAGCAGTGTGGCTGCCGGGTAGGAATGGAGGAAAGAAGTCGGGAGAGGCAGATCCTGGGCGGATGGGGCCCAGGGCAGTGGCCAGTCCAACCCTTTCCACTAACCCTGTTCTCTGGGCAGATCTACAACCTGGGTACTGGCACAGGCTACTCGGTGCTACAAATGGTCCAAGCCATGGAGAAGGCCTCAGGAAGGAAGGTAGGCCCTTCCCGTTCACCTACCCGCAGGTTTCCCAGCACCCGTCTGTCTTGCACCTCTGTGCTAGGTGCCAGCAGCAGGGGTGAGGCCCAGGGCCAGCTCTGCCAGGCTTCAGCCACATGCATCTTGCAGATCCCCTACAAAGTGGTGGCACGGCGGGAAGGCGACGTGGCTGCCTGTTATGCCAACCCCAGCCTGGCCCACAAGGAGCTAGGTTGGACAGCAGCCCTGGGGCTGGACAGGATGTGTGAGTGCTGGCCTGACCCGGGGAGGGGGCTGTCCTCAGGCCAGGTCCTGACCAGCCACCAACTCTCACAGGTGAAGATCTCTGGCGCTGGCAGGAACAGAACCCATCAGGCTTCAGCGCACAGGCCTGAGCAACTGTCCACTCTCCAGCCCCTGGCAGGACCCCAGGCTCCAGAGCGTTGGGGCCAGGCCAAGGCCACCCTACCTCAAAGCCCAGCCAGGCCCACTCAGCCCACCAGGCAGGAGGCTGGGGGCTCCACTGACCAGGAGCCATGCTGTCTTGCACGTGTCTCCTACTGGGCCCAGGAAGGCAGCAGGGCCACCAAGAATGGGCTAGCAGCAGGGCTGTGGGACCACACTTTCCTCCCAGGCACCAAATGACACTGCTACCAGGGAACTTTCCAAAGTATTTAAAATAAAAAGTTTTCTTTTACTGGGGCAGATTCTCACAGATGGTCATTCTGCACTCCATGAATACCATCAAGCAGACCTGAGTTGAGGGAACGATTTCTTTTAATTTTATCGGAATCTAGGACACAACAAGAAAAACGCTCAAAACCACATGGAGACAGAAGACGAGACAAAACTGCTCCCCACTGCCTCCCTGGCCCTAGAGTGGGGACACAGTGGGGGTGAGAGAGCCAGGGGAGACCTTGGGCCTCAATCCAGCCTCAAGGCTCCAGGCCTGGAGGTTGAGGGGTGGCAGGGCCCAGCCCCAAGTGGGTCGCTGAGGGAAGTCCCTTGAAGGGCTCCACCTCACCCACATCCTGCCGAGGGCGCGGCTAGGGGCCCCAGGCCATGGACACATTCATGATTGAGAAGCAGCTGCTGTGAGGCAGAGAGACACATGATTATCAGGGCAGAACCACTGGGGTGGGGGCCTGGGAGGGCCCCAAGGGCCAAACCCTGAGGTCGCAGGAGGGGGCCCAAAGCGGGGCTACAGAATGAGGTCCTGAGTGAGTGGGTCAGTGGCTGGGCCCTTCTCCCGCTGCCGACAGCCCCTCCGATGCTACTGCTGGGCCCACCCCCAGGGAAGCAGGCTAAGAAAGCAGCCCACCCTGCTGCAGACTGCCAGGTGGCTGAGGCCAGGAAGGAAGGCCTGGCCAGGCCTTGGCTGCCTGCCCCAGAGGCCTGTGGGAAGAGGATGGGGTGGGGAGGGGGAAACGAGGGCTCAACCGGCTCAGATCCAAGATGGTGCCACACTTTCTTGCTGGGTCCCCTGTGAGCTGGGGAACCGGACTGGGACTAGCAACTCTGGTTAGACCGGAGGCAGCAGCTTCTCAAGAAATTCTTTCACAGCTGCCATCTCCTGAGGAGCAAGGGGAAGTTGTGCGGTGCCTAGCTGGAGGGAGGAGGGAGAGGGCAAGGAGCAGGACGTTTTCCACTGACCTGGGGACAGGAGCTGTGCATGACACCTGGGTATGTCTTGAACTGGACTCTGGCAGGTGTGACCACAGACCGGAGCTTCTCAGCTGTCAGGGCCCCAAACCGTACTGGCACCATGGGGTCCAGCTCCCCATGGCACTGAAGGATGGCCAGGTCCTTGGCACTGCCATTGGCCGCCTGTGGGCCAACAGGGCTCAGAGGGCAAAGCAATGCTAAGCCTCAAGGACATTCAAGGGCAGGAGAGGACCTAGAGGGCACTCACCTGGGGGAAGTTCCGGTGCAGAGGCAGCCAGCAGCTCAACGCCACGATGCCAGCCAGAGGGTGGGGGCAGGTAAGGGCTGTGTACAGGGATAGGGCCCCGCCCTGGAGGGAGAAGACAACAGGTCAAGGGACATAGCTCGGCCCCCTGGCCACTCCCCCTTGGTGTCCCCTCACCTGTGAAAAGCCGCCCAGGACAATTCGGTTGGCAGGGATCCCATTCTTCATCTCGTGCTCGATCAGGGCCCTGACTGCAGGGAAGGGTGTGATTGGGTAGGGGAGCTGCTAGCCCCAAGGGAGCCAGGCCCCGGTGCTCCCAGGCACCGGAGGGGGTTCAGAGGAGCTGGGTCCTTACTGTTTTCTGCAGCTTTCTTGATGCCAGCCTCGTCCTCTGGGGCGTCCGGACTCAGTCCCATCAGGTCAAACCTGGGGAGCAAAGATGGTGGCCGCTGGAAGCCCCAGGCCAGTCCCTTGCATCCCCCTCGGCACCCATCTGCCCCTGCGCACACTTACCAGGAGGGCATCACCATCTTCATGTTGAGTGTCACAGGGATCCTAGGCCTGGGGAGGGACAGTGAGAAGGGCCCATCAGGCTCTGGAGGGAGCAGGAAGCCACAGCGCAGAGGCCCCTGGGGGCCCCTCCCAGCAGGCAGGGCGTTTGTTTAGGGTGTTGCCAGGCAACTAGCCACGTGGGGCGACAGACTGGTTGGGAGATCAGCTATGGATGCAGAAGCAAAGCCTGGCGCTCACCAGGGGGGACCAGGTTCCAGCTCAGTGGGTGAGTACTTGGGGAAGGGGCATGAGAGCCCCTGGTCTAGGAGCCCCTGGGCTCAGGGGCTGGGGCTAAACCTCAGTCTTGCAGGCTCCCTAAGAGCTGAGGCTGAACTGGGCACATCTGACTGCTCTGAGCCCAAGCTCTGGGGTGCAGCTGACAGACAGAACAGGTATGGAACCACAGGAGCATCCCCACTGCTGCTGACCCCCCAAAGAAGCCCCCCAGCCCCTCCCTTGCTGGGGGGACACTCACGCGTGGGGACAGATGTACTTGACGTGCGGCAGCCGGATGGTGGAGAGGGCGTCAGCCCAGCTGTGCCTGTGGGAGGGAAGGGAGAGAAGGCTCCATGCAGGAAGGGGACCAGCAGGCAGCCCTGCTAGCTGAGCCCTGCCCCACCTCCCCAAGGAAGCCCCCAACCCACTCACCCTGTGTCTCCAAGTCCATGTAAAAAAATAACCTGGAGAAGGGCAGAGAAGGAAAGGTGAGTAAGTTTCCCCTGCAGATCTTTCAATTTCAGCCTGCCCTTCCCTACCCACAAGGACCTAGGGTGAGCCCAGGTGACAGCCAACAGGTTATTAAACCCCAGCCTCTGGCTTCAGGCTACACCCCTCACCAGTGCCACCTCCACCTTTCCCATGCCCCCTCCAGCCAGTTCCGCAGCAGTTCTGGCTGCACCCAAACCCATACCCATACCCAAGGGCTGCCAAGGCCAAAGGGGTCCCTTACCGCGGCCGTTTCCCGCTCAGCTCCAGACACGGTGGCAGCGTCGGTGAGCAGGGGCATAGACATGGTGTTACCACACATACACTGCAGGGCTCCCTGCAGGCTGGGCCTGCACAAAGGAGGGGCTGCGGTCAAGAGCAAGGCTGGTAGGGGACCTCCAGCGGCCCACCCAGGCCATCTCTGCTCCTGCCAGCAGCAGGTTCTGAGGACAGAGAGAAGGCAGGCAAGAAGTCCTGGGGCAGAAGGGTAGAAGTCTGTTTGCCTCCATGCCAGGGCTGGAAAGCAGAGGCAGCCACCTCAGGGGCCTGGCACTCCTGTCTGGTTCTGGCCCAGCCTGAGTCTGAGCTTGCTGCAGGTGGGCAGGGCAGGGCTCTGGGCTGAGGAGAGAGGAGGCCCCGGGTGGTCCCTACTGGCCCCTGCTGAGGCATCCCTGAAACTGCATCCTCCCTAGTCTCCAATCCTCCCTTCTCTGGAGCCCCTAAGTCTCCTCAGCTCAACTCCGGGTCCTACTGGGAAACAAAGGGGAAGGAGATGCCAGGGAAATAAGCTTCCAGCCCCATCTCCATCCTCCTTGCCTCCCAGCCAGGCTTCACAGCAGTTTCTGGCTCCAAAATTCCCAGAGCCCTGGGGGCTGCCTGTGTCCCCCGGAAGCATAAGGAATTCCATCTGCCACCCACCCCCCAACTGGTGCTCCACGCCCCCCGGGAATGAGGCTACCTGCAGCTGCTGTCGACACCAACTCCAAATGGGTCCCCAGCTGAACAGGTTCTGGGACTCCCCAACACACAAAAGAATGTCAGGCCGGCTGGCCCCTCCCCGTCCTTAGCATCCTCCAAACTCCGGAAGCTTCCGCTACCTGCCTCTAAGTGCCTACCCTTCGCAGGGCGCCCTCCCAGCCGGCTCCCACCTTGCAGCGCCCCCCTCGTGCCTCCCCAGCAGGAAGCTCTCCAAGGACCTCGGCGCTGACCCTGGCGCGTCTCTCCCCAAGGGGACTGCACCGCCCGCCCTACGCTAGGCTTCCCTTCCTTCTCTGCGCTGGGGACTGCTGCCTACCCCTGGAGCCTCCTCTTCGCGGGGTGTCCCATCCCCGGCCTGGTGTCCCCCTCCCCCCAGCAGGACGCAGGGTCTCCCCCGGTGAGCCGGGGGAACTTCTGCCCGGACCAGGGCCAGCGCCTCCCCACGGAGGCGTCCGCTAGCCCGACTCGGGACACGCACCTGCCCGAGGGGGCTCCACGATCTGGCCCTGCCCAGGCCCCCGCCCCACAATGGCATCTGTCCCTTCCCACCGCGGAGTCCCTCTCTGCAGCCCGGACAGCCCCTCGGCCGGCCCCGCTCCACTCCCGAAGTCCCCAGGACTGGACAGCGCCTTCGCACCGCCTCCCCGCGCCCAGCCTCCGGGCCGCGCCGCCCCCCGGTCCCGCGCTCGCCGCGCCGCCGGCTCGGTCCCGCTCCGCCCGCCCGGCTACCTCGCTCCCTGGGGCTTCCGCGACCGCTCGGGCAATTTTCTTTCTCCCACAGACACACACTCTTCCCCCTCGGCCGCCCCCGCCGGAACTTCCGTTCGAGTCCCGGGAACCCAGCCATCGCGCTGCCGGAAGTCGCCCGGCCGGCGGTACGGAACCCGGAAGCGGGCCGGCCTGCCCGGCTCGGAGCTGCCATGTTGCGGGCGGCGGGGCCGCTCCCTGGGGCTGGCGTCCACCCGCGACATCGCCACCGCCCCGTCCGGACAGCAGGCGGGAGGCGGCCCATCGGGAAGGGCGAGGCCGTCCTCACGCTGCTGGCGCGGAGCTTGCCGCCTTCCCCTCGCAGGGAGGCACACGCATCGTGACCTTGGGAACTGGCCAAAGGTTCGGGTTTTTAAAAAAATACCCAACATTTTATTGTTTATATTACATATCAGATAGACATATAGTAAAATAATTACTATCAAACACATTTACGTATCCATCATCTCAGCAGCTGTTGGCTGCTCATTTAGCAAAACTTCTGAATATACGCTTTCCCACGGTGGTCCTCATACTCTTCAGCGGAGCTTTCGACTTCATACTGGCTACTGGCTTCCGCGCTTTATTCCAGCATCACAGGAGAAATCACATACTCTGACCTTAAAAGACCGTAAGTCACCTAGTCCTCCAAGCGAAAACATGAGGAAACCGAGGCTCACAGAAAGGGGGTAAATAAACGACTCCAGGTTACACTCTAATCTTTTCGTGACCTGCTTTCTATGCTATAAAGAGGTGATAATAACCACCCTGTCCACCTCGTAGCTTTGCTGTTAGGTTCAAATGGTGTGAACATGCTTTTACACACTGTGAAATCACAGCGTGAGGCCTTAATCGACTCTAAAAAGGGCCCTGGGAAGATACGCGGGCTATCTCAGGAGGACTGGACGGCACGGACAGGCTGTCCTTAGCACTGCCCTCTGCAAGCAGTGCATGCAGGGCACACGAAAGGCCACTCTTAAGTGAGCCAAGAACAAAATGTGTTTCGTTTGGTCAGCGTGGAGTCATCGCTTCATTAGTAAAGTAAAAATAGGGCCCAGGGTCTAGGAAAGACCGAGAAGCAGACAGAGTTGAAAGACCAAGCCCCTGAAAGCCCAAGAACATGTGAGGCTGTGCAAACAGGAAATGAGTCACATCTGTCCCTCAGCATCTGAGGACTCATTCTCCCAGCTTAACCTAACAAGTTTTTTCTTTGAACCAAAATAAAATAGTATGAACTTGGAAGCTCAACAAAGCCACGTTTCCTCAGGCCTAGAGAACTCAAGAGGTCAAAGAGATGGAGCTTAAAATACTAGGATTCTGGAAGAAACGTGTCACTTTCTCGAGATCCGAGCAAGCCAAGGATCCAGGACTGGGCCTCAAAAGCCACAGGATGAAAGTCAGAGGAAACAACACAGCTGCACCTCTTACCCACAGAATCCCTGCTCCGCCTGCTTGGGGAAGAAACCACGTTGCTCTGGCAATGCCAGGATGCTGGGACAGCAGGGCTCATTCAGGAAAATTCTTCAGAGCCAGTCTCGAAATCCAGAGCCCCACTCCCGGGAGCTGGGATTTGCACTTTACTAGTGGGACTTAGGAAAGGCCAGTCTTGTGTGAGATTTCCAACCGGGTCTTTGCCTTTATCTAAATTAAAACATAGCCCTTATTTTAATTCTCAAAAATATCCAGCTGAAGGGTTACAAATGTTGCTCATTGGTACAGTACTTGCTGAGCATGTGTAAGGCCCAGGATTCAATCCCCAGGACCACACACACAAAAAGCCCCAATTTGCCCCATACAAACCCCCACAGAAACAATGGCTGATCATCTTGGGTGTGATGCTTATGACATCATAAATGGCACTTGCATTCTCATTTCAGACTGTGCTTTTGTGCTTTTTGAGACCAAGTTATGCTATGTAGCCCAGGCTGGCCTTGGACATGCGGTGATCCTCCTGCCTCAGCCTCCTGAGTGCTGGGATTATAGGTGTGCACCACCATGCCCAGCCAGCCTGCATTTTAGAATTTTGAGGCCCAACACTAGAGGTAGCCGACTTGAAGACAGGCTAGAACACGTGGCTATACTCTTCTGGTAACAGTGGGCTCACCCCTCGGAGGAATTTTCTGAAGAGGATCAGGTTCAACAGTAAATGATGCCCCGTATCAACTATTCCTACTTTAACAAGGGCTGGAATATTGACCATTTAAATCTCCTTTTCAGCTACTATACGTAAACTGCCACACTGACATTCAAATGTTAAATCCAAGCGTTTGGTCCACCTCTGGATGGAATGTGCTGCTCTCACTGTCTCATCTGCAGGTCTCCTGATGTGCTCAGAATCTGTTCTCCCTTGTTTCTGTAACTATCACTCTGCACATAGCTTTCCTTCATTAACCTGTGTCGTCCTTGCAAGATGTGGGTATAGGGGTGTTTTTACCATACTGCACACAAGCGTACTGCTGTTGTTTTTGAGTCTTGCTCTGCAGCTCACACTGGCCTCAAGCTCACAGCGATCCTCCTGCCTCAGCCTCCCAAGGGTTGGTTACAGGTGCATGCCACCATGCTGGGCCCAGAAGTTTGAGCTTTCCCGGAGCAACTGATCTAGTCTCAATTTAACTGTGGCACTTCTTATAATCTACCTGAACCAAAACAAAAAATTTCAAAGTTTAAAACAGTTCGCAGTAAAATGAAAGTTTCATCGATAATACCAAGAGCTCAAAAGATAACATGAAGTCTGGCATGGATTTATTAGGAAGCTTATTAGTCACAGTGAATAAAAGCCATGGACAGAACTCAAGAGACCTCCAAACTCAGGCACAGGGCTTACAACGCAAGTCAGAAGCTAATAAACATTAAGGAGGTTCCCAGAGGCTTTTTTTTTTTTTGGTACCAGGAACTGAACTCAGGGCCTCACGCCTGCCAGCAGGTGTTAAGCTACATCCCCTGCTCTCTTGTGAGATATTAACTAAGTCTCAATCTTATACCAACCAGGTTGCCCACAAGTACAGCAGTGACTTCAACCTCTCCCAGAATGCTTAGCTGGGCAGCAGGGAAGACCTCTCCCCACAAGCTATCACGCTTCTGCCCATGAACACTTGTGCATGACAGACACCTCCAAGCGGGGCAACTTGACGAGAAAACTGAGCAATGACAGGGACAGGCAAGCAAGGACAAGAGTTTCTAGTTAGAGGCCCTTCTGATGGCTCATACACATAGTGCTGAGGCTTCAGAAGGTTTCTTACAGCCAGGAGTTGCCATTTTTAAAAAAACAAGTCACACAAAAATCCTGCCACAAATCAACACACTTGGGATTCCATAGCCACACTGGCTGGAAAAGCAAGCATTATCCATGACTGACAGATGCCACCCAGCTTAAGACCCAATTCCTGTGGTGCCCGAGAGAATGCCGACTGTCCCTCGGGACCCACTCCACTCTCCCAGGGGTGTGGTATCTTCCATAGGCCAGGTTTCCACAGCAAGACCCAAGGACAAGGCTTGGCAGAGGCTGTGGCAGCCCTCTCCCGCTGCAGCCTCATCTCCATCCTTCTGAACAGGCAGCTGTACATCTTCCCTGACGCAGCGCATCTGTGGGCGCCTGGGCCAGCCTTAGGAAATGAAGTGTGTCTGTGGGGTGACCTGATGGACCCGGTGGTCTGCCGGGTTGGCAGATGCTTCATAGTTGCAGATGGTCACCTCGTGTCGCCGAAGCTGAAGGAAAATGGAGACGAGGTCAACCAGCCAGAAGAGAATATCCTTCCCCAGAGCACACATGGAGCGATCCCAGTCCGGTTCTTTCCTAGGGTCATCTCTAAAGACCCCTCTTTTCATCCTGATGAGCCCATAAAGACCATTATCAGGGATTCACCTCAACGGGAGAAACCCACTTCCCTGCCCAGCTTCCCTCCTCTAGGAGGGCACTGTGAGACCAAAACACAGTCCATCTTATTTATCATCTCATCTCTGGTGCCTACAACAAGAAAGATCCAGGTATCTTGTTTTTTGGGGCTGGGATTAAGCCAAGGCTTCATGTAAGCTAAGCACAGGCTTCACCGCTGAGCCACATCTCTGGCCCTGATCATGTAACATGAAGAACGTAAAAGTGAAAAACTGTGCATTGATCTGAATTACACAATAACCTATTACAAATACTTCTGGCAATAGTTTATAATGATGAAACCAAGAAAACTACAGACAGGCAGAGGCGCTGATGCATCACCTGCTCCCCCCCCCCCCCCGCACCTGCTCCTGGGGTGCAGACCCGCCCTCACAGCCCCTCTTACCTCAGTCCATTCTCCTCTCAGGCCAATATAGAAGACCTTTGTGGTATCTGCTCCAAAGTTTTTTGAAATATGAATGGACAGATGATAGACATTTGAAAAACGAGAAATTCTTGAGCATGAAAAAGAGGGAGAAAAGCACAGGTTACTGACCAGCATGCATCTCGCCACCAGCGAAAACAACTTTAGCACCAACTTGTGGCAAAGTGCAGGCAAATGTCAGAGAACACCCTTGCGCCCTCTGGGCAAGCAATTAATGGTGTGGACATCTGCTGTGTGCCTGCCAGATCCTGTCCAAGGCAACAGAATAAACACCACAGGAAGAGGAATGAGAGGCGCTATATAACCAAGCAGGGTCACTAAAGGGTGTTTGGTGTTGACCTCTTCCTTAGGAAAGACAAAACTGGGCTGGTGAGATGGCTCAGTGGTCTAAAGCACCCACTTAGAACAAGTTAAGTTAAGCAAAGCACAGGGACCACGGTTCAATCCCCCAGCACCACATGCCAGCCCGCCCCGCCCCCTGGTGGGCTGAGCTGGCCACACACACACAAAATAAATAAATAAATTTAAAAAAAAAAGAAAGACAAAACTAATGAAAAGACACGGCAGTTCCATGTAATTCAAGTCTTTGGAAGCCCACTATGTGAAGAGGAATTCCGAAAACATGTTTCCCAAGACCAAGCTAGGAACTCATCCACATCTGCCAAGTGCCTACAAGTCAGCCAGTTTGTGGCTCGTACCAACTGCCTAAGATCAACCAAATCAATGATCGAGCCATGATCGAGCCTCCTCCAAGTTTTGACTCATTTCTCATGCTGAGAGGGAGGACACTGGCCAAAAATAAACTGAGTGACAGAGAGCAGAAGTCAGGCCATGTGCTTACTTTGTAGCATACTCTAACTCCCCTGTAACATCCGGGTTCAGACTAAAGGTCTGGTCTGGCTCTCTTTCTGTATCATCAAACGACATCTGTGGAATGTTCTTGTACCTAGGAAAGGGAAGGAGAAGAATGTCAAGAAACACATTATCACAGCTTTCAACTATCTATAACTGCAGCAAAAGGAGACCAAGCCTTGAGGTCAAGTTTTAGAAATGCCACTTAGTGCCAAGTATATATAAGTATCTTTAAGCTAATAACAAGAGCAGAGAGTAGCTCAGTGGCTTAAGCGCCTGCCTGGCAAGCGCAAGGTCCTGAGTTTGATCCCCAATACAAAAAGAAAAATACAGGCTGGGGAGAGCTTAGTAGAATAAGCGCTTACTGGCAAGCGCAAGGTCCTGAGTTCAATCCCCGGTACCGGAAAAAAAGAAAAAGAAAAATACATAAATAAGACCTGAGAACTGTAACATAGCTCAGTGGTATCTCTGAGTTAAAAAATCTCGAGAAGCAGTACAAAGAGATGGCTCAAAGGAGGTCACATGGAGCAAATGCAAGAGAAAATAAGCAACTCAGCACATTCACACCAAGCTGAGAATGTGAAATAAAACAGCTTACTCATGGAAAAGGAAAATACATACTTTGGCAGCAACATACTAAACACAGCTAAGAGATAAGATCAGGCAGCCCTATGCTCAAACATTTTGTGTCCAAAAATTACTCAATATGGTCAGTCACCTTACAGCTCTTAGATAATACAATTTGGGGATCCCTGTTTCGAAAGAGCACAAAAAGTTGCAAATTCACAAAAGGCTACAAAAGTGAAACTGCTAGTGAAGAAAATATTTATTAAAAGTCTAAGGAGGAGGGGGCTGGAGAGATGGCTCAGTGGTCTAAAGCACCTACTTGAAACAAGCTTGGCAATGCACAGGGACAGTGGTTCAATCCCCCAGCACCACATGCCAGCCAGCCCCGCCCCCTGGTGGGCTGAGCTGGCCACACACACACACACACACACACACACACACACACACACAAATAAATAAATAAATAAATGTTTAAAAAAAAAAGTCTAAGGAGGAGATGGGGCTGGTGAGATGGCTCAGTGGTCTAAGCACCTACTTAGAACAAGCTTAGCAAAGCACAGGGACTGCGGTTCAATCTCCCAGCACCACATGTCAGCCAGCCCCGCCCCATGGTGGGCTGAGCTGGCCACACACACACACACACACACACACAGAGAAATAAACAAATAAATAAAAAATTAAAAAAAAAAAAAGTCTAAGGAGGAGAGAGGAAAAAAGAAGAACTAAGATATATCATGTACAGGTCCCCTATGATGAGTGTAATCATTGTGTGTATCTGAATTGCACCAATAAACAATTTTAAAAAGCAAAGTTGAAGAGACAGCAATCTCTACAACACTCCAACTCTGAAGGACTAACCCACACAGCTCCGCCACTTCCCAACTGCTTCAGTAACACACTCACACGGGAAGGGCCGAGATTTTAGCTGCAGCAAAATGCATTTAGTTAAGAAGGCAAATGTTTCCTTCAAAGTGTTTTTAAGAATGACACACAACAGAATAATAAGAGCGCACGTTGATAAGCAGCATGAGGAGGCAACGTGGCACTGTAGTTAAAAGCAGTGTCTCCAACAACAGAATGACAGAAAATATTTGCATGTTATTCATGTGACAAGTCATTATTGATCAAAATTTAATCCTCCAGAAAATATTCCCCCTCAGTTCAAACACACTTATCCCATCATTCTTGCCACTGTCTGAAGCAGTTGTGAGTTTCTTTTTTTTTTTTTTTAATTTATGTATTTTGTGTGTGTGTGGCCAGTTCAGCCCACCAGGGGGCGGGGCTGGCTGGCATGCGGTGACGGGGATTGAACCGCGGTCCCTGTGCTTTTGCTTAGCTTGTTCTAAGTAGGTGCTTTAGACCACTGAGCCATCTCACCAGCCCCAGTTGTGAGTTTCTTAAGGAGGTGTGATACAAAGTATGATGCTACCGAGTGCCATCAAACTGTAAAAATATGACAGTCTGTGCTCGTCCACCTTATTTACTGGATCTGATATTCCATGACCTCTGGCTTCCCCAAAGTCAGAAGGACCGTGCAAGGTAAATGTTTTGAATCAATGCAGGACACCGAGGCAGCCACAAGAGCACAATTAAAGACAAAAGGACTTCCAGAATTGCTTCAGGAGGCGGAAAGAACTATAGCATGAGCGTATTTCAAGTGAAGGGGGAGTATTTTGGGGAGAATTAATGTCAATGTCTCTTTTACTTTTTCTTTCTTTTTTTTTTTTTTGAGACAGGTCTCACTATGTAGTACACACTGGCCTTGAACTCGCTTATGTAGCTCAGGCTGGCCTCAAACTCTCCAACAATCCTCTTGCCTCAACCTCCTGAATGCTGGGATTACAGGCATGCATCACATCTGGCTTCTTTTTTTTTTTAAATTAAAAATATAAACATGATTAGATTTTTGTTTTGTTTTTAATGTATTTGGTACAGGGTCTACAGGGTCTCACTATGTAGATCGGACTGCAGTGATTCTCCTGTTTTTTAGCCTATCAAAGCTCTGGGATTATAGGCACGTGCCACCACACCCAGTCTGCCCAGTCCCAATCCCCATCTCAGCGTGCCCTGGGGACGGGACCAGCACAGCAAGCCGGGAATCAAACCCTGGCCACTGTGCTCTGCCTAAGCAGGCGCTTTAGTCCACTGAACTATCTGGCCAGCCCACATCTGGCTTTTAATATGATACATTTTTAAAATTTTAATCACATACTAGTTTTTTTTTTTTTTAATTTATATGTGTGGGGGGGCAGCTCAGCCCACCAGGGGGCGGGGCTGGCTGGCATGTGGTGCTGGGGGATTGAACCGCAGTCCATGTGCTTTAGCTAAGCTTGTTCTAAGTAGGTGCTTTAGACCACTGAGCCATCTCACCAGCCCTAGCTTTCTTTTTTGAAATGGACTCTTATTATGTAGTTCAATCTGTCCTTAAGCTCACTGTATGGTACAGGCTAGGCTTATATCCACACTGATCCTCCTGATTCAACCTCTCAAATGCTAAGATTATAGGTATGCACACCATTGCTGGTTTAAACACAAAACTAAGTTTTGATTATACAGTACCTCATATATAGAAATCAAAACAATAACTGGGGTGTGATAGGCACATGCCAATAATCCCAACACTCAGCAGGCTAAAATAGGAGGATTGCCACAAATTTGAGGTCAGTCTGGGCTACAAAGTGAATTCAAGGCCAGCCTGAACTATTTAGCCAAGACCCTGCCTCAAAATAATTAAACAAAAAGGCCGGGGAGATAGCTCAGTAGAGTAAGCACTTGCCTGGCAAGTGCAAGGTCCCGAGTTCAATCCCCAGTTCTGCAAAAATAATAATAATAATAATGATAATAATAATAATTAAGCAAGCAAACAAACAAGTAGGCAGGCAAATAATCTGAACAGAGGCATCTCAAAACAAAATATGCAGCGCTGGTGCGATGGCTCAGTGGTCTAAAGCACCTACTTAGAACAAGCTTAGCAAAGCACAGGGACCGCAGTTCAATCCCCCAGCACCACATGCCAGCCGGCCCCACCCCCTGGTGGGCTGAGCTGGCCACACACACACACATAAATAAATAAAAAAAATTAAAAAACACAAAATATGCAAATGGCCAACAAGTATATGAAAAATGTTCAACATCACACTATCATGGAAATGCAAATCAAAATCACCTCACCCATTATGGGGTAGCTACTATCCAAAAATGCTGATGAGAAAAAAAAATGCTGATGAGGATATAAAAAAAGAGAGGCTCTCACACACCACTGATGGGACCATAATTTTGGACTGCCATAGAGGATTCTCAAAACACTAAAGAACTACCCTCTGATCCAAGAATTCTACTACTGAGTATACACATCTGGAGGAAATCAGTATTTCAAAGAGACGTCTGCACTTATCATTACCCATAAGCACCAAGGTATGGAATCAACCTAGGTGTTCATCAATGGATGAATACAGAAAGTATAGTTACATATACTACCCAACAGTATGCAGCCATAAAAAGGATGAAATCCTGTTAACTGTGGCAACAGGGATGAGCCTAGAGAATCCTGTATATGTGTATTTCATATACATAAAATGAAATGAAATGAGTCAGGGACCAAAAGACAGACACATGTTCTTATCTATAGAAGCTAAAGAAGTTGTTGTCATGAAGTACAGAGTGGAGCTGTTGTTCCCAGAGGCTGGGAAAGGTGAGGGATAAGAGGATGGGCAGAAGACATTTAATGGGTACAGGAACATAGATGGATAGGAGGAACAACCTCTAATGTTCTAAATAGCACAATAACATCCCTACAGTTGGTAACAATTAATTTACTTTTCATAACTGCTAGCAGAGAAGATTTTAGTTTTTGGGGGGTACTGAGATTAAACCTAGGCCTCTACCCATGCTAGGCACTCTACCCCCAGCCCTACAGACGATCTCTTTTCTTTTTGAGACAAGGTCTTGCTATGTATTACAAACTGGACTCATATGTAGTCCAGGCTGACCTTGAATTCACAGTGATTTTATATATATCTGAACCCGGCACTGAACTCAGGCCCTTGCGCTTGCCAGGAAGGCGCTGCTTCTACTGAGCCATCTCCCTGGCCCCTCACAGCAATTATCTTGCCTCAGCCTCTAGTACTGTGATTACAGGTTTGCACTACCACACCTGACAGAGGATTCTGAATACTCCCCACAGGAGGAAATGACAAAAAATGAAATAAAATTAAATAAAAAGTCATGGGTTGAGCTAGACTTCCTGGGTATTAATTGCAAATCTTTCAGAGTGTTTAAAGATGGTAAACAGCCAGCTGTGGCAAGCCTACCATAGGTTCTTTTGCAGCCTACCACATCACTTATGAGCTGTGTAAGGGCCGGCCTGATAGCTCAGTGGACTAAAGCAGCACAGAGGACAGGGTTCGACCTCCAACATGCCGTGCTGGCCCCGTCCCCCAGGGGCACACTGAGCCTGCGATTGAGACTGGGTGTGTTGGCATGCATCTGTAATCCCAGCGCTTTGGAAAGCTGAAAACAGGAGAATCA